ATCCTATTATTCTACCAGATAACTTAGACATAACCGAGTAGGTTGTCTTCTGTAATTGGTTTTTCCCCCATTACTGCCTTTCTTTCCCCCGTCTCTCTTCCTTCTTCTTCTTGTCCATCTCTCTCATTCTTCTCTCCCCATCTTATTCTCATTTACTCTTTTCGTTCTTTTCCTTTGCCTCTTCCTCTTGCTCAGAGGCCGCCAGCACGGAGCCTTCGTCTCGCTCAGATACTATGGGATAGAAACTTCTCCACGAAATCCTTTGTATACAACTTAGTTCGACTCCTCTGATCAGAGTTGTTGAAGCGAATTACCTGAAGTCTTGCAGCAAGTCTTACGGCTTGTTACCAGGAGCTTCCCAGTTGGCGGGTAATTCTATGAAGGAATTTTCCTTCAGTGTAGGACAATTTCCATTTGAGTATTTTAGAAGGCTGGGGCCCAGAAACTGAAGCTCTGCTGGTTTGCGTTTATAGTTGTTAATGGTTTTTGAAGAACTGTAGCCTGGCCGGATTACGATATTAGTCCGGCTTTCCGGCTTATGTTTGGCCCACGAAACCTGTGCATCTTTGCTCACGTCATTCTGAGGTGGCGTCTGGATCTCCTGCCTCTGTGTGGCCTCCAGGGCTTACCAGGAATGAATTGATCTGACAAATATTATAATGTTCACTGCTAATACTTATGACTTTAATTTACTTATGAACAGCTTATTTTATTTCTGGGTGAATACTTGTTCATTTAATCCCACATGGTCTTACCACTTGGACTGGATGGTAGAGCAACGGTTTCGCTACTTGCAGGTTGGCTATTTCAATCCCCCCCCGACCGTCCAAAATGGTTGGGCACCATTCTTTTCCTCCGTCCTATCCTAACTCCTTATCCTCGTATCCCCTCCTAGTGCGTTACAGTCTTAATGGCTTAGTTCTCTTGATAATCACTTTACTAATCCCAGATCCAATTGGGTGACTCTCACGTTTGTCTCAGAGCGGTCTTTTCGTACACGTGGGTATGAAATATTACAGCGGGTGTATACAGACATGTGTCTCACTCCGTGGGAATTTGTCCACCATGTTGTCTGTATGTATAATACAATCATCAATGGGAAGTCAAATCCATGTAGTGGGACTCCATAGTCTCCTGAAACTGATGGATGTCTACTACATGTATTTGACTTCCCCATTGATTTTTTTGCTTTCAATTTTAATTTCACTTAATTTCCGCTCTTCAATCTAAGTGTGGTCCGTTTTTTATTGACCGTACGTTTTTATTTTGACATTCGAGTGCTTGCGTATATGGCGATTGAAGGAGCCAGAAGTCATCGTTCTAATTCCAGCATCAGCATGTACAAGAGATGCGTCGGTGACAGAGAGAGCATCGACGACAACTTGCCAGCATCATAGTGTCGCTGTTGTCATGGCAACTCTTCCATTCATGGTCGTCGTCTAGGTTACGTATACCTAAATGATGAATTACGTAAACTCTCTCTACCTCTCTCTCTCTCTCTCTCTCTCTCTCTCTCTCTCTCTCTCTCTCTCTCTCTCTCTCTCTCTCTCTCTCTCTCTCTCTCTGCTTGTAATGTGGGATTTAAGACAGTTTTTACACATTACAAATCAATGAACTAATATCAGTTAACACAGGTAAACAAAAACACATGAATGTATAATGTTTATTGACAAAAGCTCGATGCAACTGGTGGGGGAAGGGGGTACCAATGGGGGCGGGTTGTACACGGGGATACAAAAATAAAGCTGCCTATTGTTTCATGAAACTACCATGGCATACGGTTCGGCTTCTGTTTAAACAAAGGGTTCGGCTTTTGTTTAAACAGCGTCCCGTACTTCAGCGTCATCTCAGCGCTTGTCATATATATATATATATATATATATATATATATATATATATATATATATATATATATATATATATATATATATAATAATATAATTTTATAAGCAACATGACTGATGTGCGATTATTTGTTTGCCTACATGACTTTTTTGGGCCTTATATATATTTGTGCAATATGAAAGTTCTTCGCCTGTTCTACTAGAGCAGTCTAGACGGGTGTTGGCATCTTAGGTGAACTCAACCACAGGCTAGTTTAATTTTTGACAGTTTGACAGTTAAGTTGTTCTCTCTCACACTCTCTCTCTCTCTCTCTCTCTCTCTCTCTCTCTCTCTCTCTCTCTCTCTCTCTCTCTCTCTCTCTCTCTCTCTCTCTCTCTCTCTCTCTCTCTCTGAGTGCCGAACTGATTGCCGATTGAACTGTTTTGCAATTAATTTAAGGAAGTTACCAAGTTACAGAGCTAAGTTACTCTGTAGCCACCTGAGCTATTGTCTTCTCTGAAATGAGTCTTCAAGAGTCTTCTCTGAGTCTTCTGTCTTCTCTGAGGTGAGTTGTTTGAGGAACTCGTTTGCCTTTCCTGAGGCTGTAACACCTAATGACATTAATAACATGGTAGCTTTGGCACACTATGTTCTCGTCTACAGCCCTGTTAGAGTTATTGAGTGAGCGTTGAACACCCACACACTCACGCCTAAAAACACTGGAGACACTGATATGCAAATGTGTGTGTGTGTGTGTGTGTGTGTGTGTGTGTGTACTTACCAAATTGTGCTTGCAGGGGGTTGAGCTCTGGCTCTTTGGTCCCGCCTCTCAACTGTCAATCAACTACTGTACAGGTGTCGGAAAATCCGACACCATTTAATAATATACAGACAGATAATAAGTGCTGCTGTATTACCAACAAGTAACCTATAGAAAACGTAACTTGTAGTGGAATTACCGTCTAAAGAAAACGGGATATCATCACCACATACTATTATAATTCACCACCTATTATGGTGGGAATTATTCTTAAATACATTAGTCTTTGGACTTTACCATCATAAAAACATCTTATATAAATTAACTTAATTATCAATATTAAAGTAGAGTAAATGTGACCCTTCTATCACTTTCTGACATGTGGACAATGTAAGCCAGGCGTGAGAGTGAGGAAGGGGGCAGCCATTGTTGTGTCACCTCCGAGACGTGTGGAGCAAATTCGGCTCCTATCATATCTGGACAATGTCGGCCAGTAACGTCAATAGTATGGAGTGTTAAACAGCCATTGTTTATATTGAGACCAGAGGCTCACACGGGAGCAAATTCGGCTCCTGTTAAATTTACTTGGACGTAGTGTTATGGAAACTAAAAGTGTACCATTGTCAACACGCTGTCTACAAATTCAAGTTAAGTGTTCTTTCCGAAACCCATTATCTATCATTAGTGGCCATTAATGTCATTGGGTAGGGTTAGCCGGTTAGAACGCGAAATCGCCTCATACTAAAGGTAATTAAGCCAGGTCTTTATTGTTCCATGTACAATGTTTCTCTGAAATACCTGTCATATACTAGGTTTCTGGCTTCACAGCTAGCGCCCTTTTAACAGGTCAAGACGAGGAAGCATGTTTGTGCATCAGTTACCAGCACGTGGAAGCTACCTCAAAGAGGGAAAATGTGGTCTACATCCTGGTTATACCTGCTGTACAAATAAGATAAGGAACCTTTTCAATGTATGTAGTTAATTCTGCAGTTTGATTGGCTGCATACATATAAATATAAACCCCCCTAATGTGTAGAGGATCGATTTGTGAGATTATGAGATTATTGCAGAAATACAGTCCACTTATCATTATACAAATTGCTATCGAAGTATATAAATTAACGTAAATATAAATTCATATAAATTAAATAAATATAAATCTCACAGGTCGGTTCCCACAACAGGTTCCTGACCCTACTGGGCTCTATCATATCTACACTTGAAGCTGTGTATGGAGTCAACCTCCACCACATCACTTCCTAATGCATTCCATTTATCTACTACTCTATGTGTGTGTGTGTGTGTGTGTGTGTGTGTGTGTGTGTGTGTGCGTGTGTGTGCGCGCGCGCGCACTGACAGTGAACGACACTGAATACTGAGCTTGTGGAGGTTAACGAACTTGTAACGAGGACAGACAGCACTGAGGGCTCACGGGGCTTGTGAACAACCACAAAGTCTTAAGTCACGATACTAAGAAAGCGAAGGTAGGTAATGGAACTATCAGGGGAAAGCGCCAAGCCACTACGACTATATAGCACTGGGAAGGGATCAGGATAAGGATTTAGGATGGGACGGAGGGAAAGGAATGGTGCCCAACCACTTGTAGACGCTCGGGGGATTGAACGTCGACCTGCAAGAAGCGAGACCGTCGCTCTACCGTCCAGCCCAAGTGGTTGGAAAGTGAAGGAGTGTGCAGTACCTGGAACCTGTACCTGGAACCTGTACCTGGCTCCTGTACCTGGCTGCTGTACCTGTCTCCTGTACCTGGCTCGCAGGCGCTGGAGAGGACCAGACACTCTAGTTGAGATCCCTCGTCTAACATTTACCCAAAAACAAACGAAACCTGTACATCTTTCCTTAACCATATCGCCCTTGCTTACAGTTATTAAACATCTTACGAAATTCTAAACGTCGCAACTCAAGGTTGTAATTGTTGTGAACAACGTCTTAGCGCTTCGGCCCTCGTAAACTATTGAATTAATGTAAACAAAGTCGCTGGGATTGAAGAAAGATGTACAGGTTTCGTTAGGGGTTGCGTAAGTGGTGAATCTCAGGATAGGAGCCAGCCCACGTCAAGGAAAACAATTGGTATTGAGGAAAGGTAATGGAGTTAAACGGGATCATTTTGTCTATGTTAATGGTCTAACAGAGCACAGGAACGTATTATTATAGATGGGCATTAATACATTTATAAAATAGGAATATAATATTGTTAAACGATAATTTATATGTTTGGTAAACAGCGTGAACTGTTAACTTCATTGTCATACAGCTGACACACGGCTGTTGTCACTCGGGCACAGTTGTTGTTGTTCGCGGTCGTCTGCGGAGGGAGGGACGTCTGGTCAAGGTTGTGGTGGAGGGACGTCTGGTCAAGGTTGTGGTGGAGGGACGTCTGGTCAAGGTTGTGGTGGAGGGACGTCTGGTCAAGGTTGTGGTGGAGAGACGTCTGGTCAAGGTTGTGACGGAGAGACGTCTGGTCTAGGTTGTGGTGGAGGGACGTCTGGTCAAGGTTGTGGTGGAGGGACGTCTGGTCAAGGTTGTGGTGGAGGGACGTCTGGTCAAGGTTGTGGTGGAGGGACGTCTGGTCAAGGTTGTGGTGGAGGGACGTCTGGTCAAGGTTGTGGTGGAGAGACGTCTGGTCAAGGTTGTGACGGAGAGACGTCTGGTCTAGGTTGTGGTGGAGGGACGTCTGGTCAAAGTCTGTGACAGAGGGACATCTGGTCAAGGCTGTGACGGAGAGACGTCTGGTCAAGGTTGTGACGGAGAGACGTCTGGTCTAGGTTGTGACGAAGGAACGTCTTGTCAAAGATTGTGACGGAGGGACATCTGCTCAAAGACTGTGGAGGCGGGCTATGAGAGACCCAGGCGACCACACTACGCGCCGCCGAGTTGGACGTCTAATCCTCCAGGTCGTGGAGTGGGGAAGTGTTGGGGTCGAGGTAGTGAATGGAAGACGTCATCTCGTTGAGGCGAGGATGCGGCGAGGCAGGGTAGGGGGTGGACACGTCGTCGAGGTGGGGGTGCTGAGAGGGGTGGTGGTGGTGGTGGAGGTGGTAGTGGTTGCCAGACTGGGGGTAGACGTCCGGACCATGACTGATGTGTCGGACCGTCCGGTGGTGACGGACTGGCAGGGGCCTCTCCAGTCTCGTCTGACTGTACGGGGAAATCAAGAGACACTGGCATTAGCTTGGTGAAAGTGGTTAGAATGAATTGACAAAATGGTGTAAGGTTTAAATCTGGCAAAATGGTTTAAGATTAAAATCTGTCAAAATGGTGTAAAGTTAAAATGTGACAAAATGCTGAATGTTAAACTGAGTTGACTTAGCTTGGTAAAAAGGTAAAAAATTAGTCTAACTCGCTTAGTAACAGGTTAGCATGACTTAACTCTGCTTAGCAAATGGTTATAATGACTTGACTTGGTAAAAATATTCAGACTTGCATTGGGTAATAAAGGCAATTAGAATAACTTGAGGTATAGTGTGGAATGACTTGAGTTAGCTTAGAGAAGGATTGGAATGGCATAGCTCAGCTGGGGTCAAAATACCCAGGAATAATAATTAATTTAGTGAAAGAATGAAATAATTCGAATCAGCTTGATAAATGGCCGGAACGAGTAAGAAACTTAACAACATTAAATGCGTGAGTGTGTGTGTGTGTGTGTGTGTGTGTGTGTGTGTGGGCGTACCTTTTGCTGAAATCCTTACTTATTTTATTTCTATTATGAATGGAGATAGACGTCTCCCAGGCACCTAATTGCTCGTCGCCTCGTTAAGATGGCGCTACAGAATACAATATTATGTATTTGTATGCGCTACAGTAATTCGTGATTTGTAGCATCTGGTGAAGGGTATTGGACGCCATGATGAATCCTGTAGGGGTTTTGTGGCTCTCTCTAAAACCTAAATAAACTATTTAGTTATTGACTTGTACTAGCTCTTCCCAATTATTGCTGGATAGACGTGGCACAAAACAGTGCGGGATTGGTACCCAGTCGATCCAACCTGGATAGAGCCCGACCCCTGAATGTACCATTAAACAGGTACTCGAGCGATAAGGTTGCATGTTGACCAGACCACACACTAGAAGGTGAAGGGACGACGACGTATCGGTCCGTCCTAGACCATTCTCAAGTCGATTGCGGTTGCAGGTTGCATCCTAGGGTAAGGTCGGTTGGTTGCCTAACAGGACTTCGTAAAGTACCTCATAAAGTCCTACTTCGTAAAAGTCCTACATCGTAAAGTCCTAATACGTCTATGAGGGTTACCGAATATGGGAACCAAAGAATGTGTTGAAGGCGATACGACGGCCCAGATGAGGAGAGGCGAGTTTCTCTCTTGATGTAGTAATGTGATGGATAAAGTAGGTGGTGACGAAGGTAAGATGGGAAGCGAGACTCACCAGATGAGGTAAATGGAGACTGCCACGGTCAGGATGAAGCCAGTTCCCACGGCCACTATTGCCATCGTCCAGAAGTTGACCTCATCTGTCGGGGGTAAACACTAATATTGTCACAGGTCTTCAGGGGGTGTGTGTCTCTGTCTCTCTCTCTCTCTCTCTCTCTCTCTCTCTCTCTCTCTCTCTCTCTCTCTCTCTCTCTCTCTCTCTCTCTCTCTCTCTCTCTCTCTCTCTCTCTCTCTCTCTCTCTCTCTCCATAAGAGGATTATATATATATATGACCCTTATATATGATTATATATGTGTGTGACCCAAAACACAACAGATTTTCAACAAGACATGGAGGTAAACATTTACTAAATGTGTAGATGACAGTGAAATATGACGGCGTCTGCAGACCAAGACTTAGCAACATCACAAGACTTTCTAAACAAACATGTTTAAGTGGGCAGAAGATTGATAGAAGCAGCTGACCCCTCTTTTCACAAGATGTTAAAAGTTTCTAGTTAGAAGTCGGGAACTGAAGGTAAAAAACATACGAAAAACCCTCTTGACCAGACCCAGGAGCTGAAGCACGACCTCGGGAACCCATTGTCAACTCAGCAGTTGAAACAGTTTCAGTCATGCATCTCCCACTCTCCTAATCTCTTCCAGTATCACATTAAGCCAAGATGCAATTGCAGTGTGTGCAAAATGCTTTGCACTTTTATCTTTATAAATTTTTTATCTTTATCTTTTATCTTTTAAATTTTTATCTTTCACTTTTATCTTTTAAATTTTATCTCAGTCAACACTGAGAACTTCTTGAAGGGAGCCTTACTTAAGCGGGTCTTAATGCCTACTCTGACATTATGTATTTTGTTATTGCAAATTTCAATCGTTGCAATTCGAAGCAACGGAATAATGTGTAAATTAACCATGTTTGAGGAGATTCCATCTTATGGTCACTGCTGCCGGAAGATACAAACTTTAAATGTTGACATCACAATTTTCTGCTACACGTGATATTGTTCCATTCTACTGTACCAGCACCGTTTGTGTGTGTGTGTGTGTGTGTGTGTGTGTGTGTGTGTGTGTGTGTGTGTGTGTGTGTGTGTGTGTGTGCGTGTCTGAGTGTGTGTGTGTGTGCACCTTCCAGCTTAATGCCCCGACAGTGCTATATCGGATTATATTTCACTGTGAAAAGTCACTGCAAACATTGTTATTTAGATTAGTGTTGGGCCCAAAAGCCTTTCAATCGCTGAAGGTGCATTAAAGCCACATCAATAGACATCAACAATAGACCACAACAATAGCGCACCCAGGAAGTATATTTTAATCCTTAACCAAGGTCAGGAAATACACGACCACGGTGTATATACATACAGAAGCGAGATTCACCACGTGGCTGACATGTCTTTGTATTATGATGCTGATGTTTACGTATAGATGCGGACTTTTTCTTAATTACTTTTGGCAAGGGTTCGGTGTTCAATTTTAATTAATATATTAAATTTTTGTTTTATTAATTTTATCAATGTTTCTTTTTTTAGATCTTAATTATAATACCTGGAGTTATGATACAGGAAGTGTGTGTGTGTATTTTTTATTATTTGTATTTATTATTTGTGACTGCAGAATTGGGCTATTAGCTCTTGGACCCCGCTTTGCTAACCAATCTATTTTTCCTCTATTATATCTACTACATAAGTATCTCAATATTATATCTACTACACTGATAAGTTGGCTAACTTAGTATATGAGTGGATTGGTGCTTCTGAAGTGCCACCTACACCACCCACCTAACTGGGAGTGCCACCTACACCCTCCTCCTTGGAAGTGCCACCTACACCACCCACCTCCCTGGGAGTGCCACCTACACCACCCACCTGCCCGGGAGTGCCACCTACACCCACCTGCCCGGGAGTGCCACCTACACCCACCTGCTCGGGAGTGCCACCTACACCCACCTCCGCAGGGGGGGGGTGCCAGCTACACACTGGAGGTTATGCGACAATAAACGCTCGCTTTAAGTCCATTTCAACATGAAAAACTCCTCCGACTAAAAAGTATTATATTGTGGATCCCCTCCCTCCCACACTCTCCCTCCCACACTCTCCCTCTCACACTCTCCCTCTCCTTCTCACATACTCCCTCTCTCTTCCTCTCCCTCTCTTCCTCTCTCTCTCTCTCTCCCTCTCTCTCATTCTCTTTTTCTCTCTCTCTCTCTTAGTCTTTCCCCACTTGCCTTCACCCTCCTCCCCATCCTCACCCCTCACCTCCCCATCCTCACCCCCCTCCCCCCTAGACTCTGCCCTCCCAATCCCTAAGCCTCACTGCAATTTATCTCCCCGAGATAACACCTCAATCCATCATGCACACTTTTCCCTTCCTCAGCCGCGGAACGTAAGCATTAAGGAGCCTAGAGAAGGTCTATTGTCGCAGAAGAGACGGCTCCTATTTACATCCATCCAAATTCAGGTCATGTGTCTCGCCTACGCTTGAAACCATTCATCGATATACCACATCATTTACGTTATCCAGTAATTTTTGTTCCACAAGTTAACGGCTGTTTTCCAAACCAATATTTACCCAGGTCTTTTTTTCTGATTTTTCTTAAACTTATGCAATTCGAAACCATTGTTTCGGTATATTTAGCACCCTGTTCGTAGTATTTGAAAACTTTAATCATGTCCCCCCCCCTACTATTTTCTTCGCTTTTCAAGAAAATGTAAATTAAGCATTTTCAGTCTCTTCTAATCATGTGGTGCAAGTCTCAGGTCTCGTTAGTCATTCGGCCACAATAAAGAGGAGAATTATTCCCGCCAACGACCTCGTGGCCTCAGGGGCAGTGACTCCCGTGGTGTGGCCGACCTACGCCAACACCAACCAATATTAGTAGGTTGACCAGACCACACACTAGAAAGTGAAGGGACGACGACGTTTCGGACTATCCTGGGTCCAGGATAGTCCGAAAATCAACTTGAGAATGGTCCAGGACGGACCGAAACGTCGTCGTCTCTTCACTTTCTAGTGTGTGGTTTGGTCAACATATTTCAGGCACGTTATTGTGACTCTTCGTCTGCAATATTAGTAGGGCGGGGTGGAAACGTCGTCTCGAGGGCCAGGTTGTGGCTAAGGGGCAGTACAGCACAAGAATGGTCGTCGGAGGCGGGGCTGCTGGACCCGGATCATGATTGAGTGAGGATGCAGCTGGAGCGGGAATTGACGCATTACCGGGAAAAAAAACCTGCAGCGGCTCGGAGATGCAATAGCAGCGCGCTGTGACGGTAGGAATACCATATATATAGCGTTTGGGCACAGGCAGTGAATGCTTACCTGGCACAGGAGATACCTTGATCACAGGCCAGCGATCAGAGACATAGCAGTGCGCCTTAGCTTTAGAGAAGGCGTGCATCAGAGATTAAGGTAGGATGGCCGACCAAGTCTACTGTGGAAGAGCAAGGTGACAACTATACTTGTCTACTTCCTTAGTGCCATGAGAGCATCTTCAAGTCGGCGGACGGCCGTGTGGTATTTCAGTGTTGGACAGATTCTATAGAAAAGTAAATATGTGTGTGTGACTGTACCGTGTGTGCCAGACTATTGCCAGCAGGGGACATATAGATAACGAAAGTCATATAGGCGCATATTTAGTGTTGCTACAGTAAATATTTTGCTTTTGACTAGTCTTGCTTTCCTCCAGGGGGCGTCTGGTGGGACAAAATCGAAGAATACACACAACGGGAAGCACAGTGGGATTTTAAGGGCGTCATTCTAGGGTGGCCAAGAGTCCACTTTGATTGATTGATAAAGATTAAGCCACCCAAGAGGTGGCACTTTAATCACTGTGAGGTTTAATATCCCTCCCCCGTGGGGATTACTGGGGATGTGAGGTGACTGCGGCCTCACACACCCGGCCTCACACGAGTGCAAGCCTCACACGAGTGCAAGCCTCACACGAGTGCAAGCCTCACACGAGTGCAAGCCTCACACGAGTGCAAGCCTCACACGAGTGCAAGCCTCACACGAGTGCAAGCCTCACACGAGTGCAAGCCTCACACGAGTGCAAGCCTCACACGAGTGCAAGCCTCACACGAGTGCAAGCCTCACACGAGTGCAAGCCTCATAGTGAAGCGGTCCCGTGGGCCACATGATCGCAACAAGTGACCTTTGTCATCATTCTCTGAACCATTTTGTAGATGATTTATCCATTGCATTGTAATATATTTCTAAATCTAGATTGCATAGTCTGAATGTTACCTGTTGTCAATGGGAGAAATAGGAACCTTAAAGGACATGATCCAGACATGCAACATACTGTAGAATAACATTATAGTAGTGACAGAAAGTTTATGATAAGCAGCAACAGAACTAAAGGAGGTAGGTGAATGTATTGAAGATCCACGCGTATGTATAGTAATGGAAGCCCCTTTCATTACTAAGTAATGGTGAGTAAGAACAATGAATTATGAAGAGAGAGAGAGAGAGAGAGTCTGGCTACATCCATCCACGGTATTAAAATCAATAATGGCAAGGAGCAAAGGGGTCAGGACTCATTGGTCGATAATTGGAGAGGCTGGACCCCAAGAGTTGAATCCCGGTCTTGCAAGATCTGATAAGTAAGAACTATTATTCCTCTACCTGCACTCCTACAAGTCTCTCTCTCTCTTCTCTCCATTTATTCCTCTCCTCTTTAACCTACCATCTTCACTACGCCTCAGACAGCATTCAGCAACAGTGTCAGGAGCGGAGTAATATTATTTTTTTTACTCAATCTGAGCTGCTTTCATCTTTTACTTTGATCGTCTTAGATCAACAGTTGGACATTTTCTGCTTCGTGGAAGTTGTGGGTTGTGCGGGACTTTGAAGGCGTAGCTGTGACGACACCGAGAAAAGCTTTACAAATAAAAGAGGATATTGTAGATTTTGTGATGTGGAGGAGAATCTGGCGTGGAACTGGATTTAGTGAACAATCTTCATCATTTTCAGCGGAGTTGTGGGGAGTCGTCTTTCTTAGCCACTGACAATGACCTGACACTAGGACGGGACCTGACGTTATATACGAGTGTACCGTAGCTTGGCCGGAGGATTAACGAGGACGTCGAC